AGAAAGAAATTGTCATTGTCTCAATTTGAAGATCTGCATACTTATAAACTAAAAGAAAGGTGTATACTCGGTTTCATGTGTCTATTTTGTGTATTGTTCTGGGAAAGTAGCAAGTGACAGTTTCTCCCAGGTAAACAAAGACATTTTGGGGAGAATAATGTCACTCAGACAGATGCAGAATTGCTGACCAATATTCCTCTCATCTCCATGGCTGCGCCAACTTTGTGTGCTTATTCCAACAGCCTGCCTCTGTAGCAGATCCAACAGACATGACAGATGCCAAGTATACTAAAATTTTAGGCATCTCATGTGAATGTGAATTATGCAGCAGACCATCTGTATTTCTGTCTGTGTTGTGGCTGGTGTTTTGAGTGAAAAAGCTAACTGATTGTGAATGCACAGTTTACAACAGACGTGTGCTGGCGTCTCCCAGCTTCCCCTTTTATTATTCTTTTGTGAGTCATGCATCTGGGACTAATAGAAATACACCATTTCTCTTAACCCTGAGCTATGCCGTCGTACTGTTAGTCCATGGTAGTTTCACCCTCAGGGAGTGACCCCAGGCGCGACTCTCAGTAAAAGAGACTCTGACCTGCTCTGTGGTACAGAGAAACACAACAGTCTCAGAACATCCACAGTCAGATAGCAGAACAGCTTGTGATGATGCATGTCCTTTTAGAACATCTGTGTTCATCCAGGGGCATCACTGGCTATGGAAAGCAGTAAAGCAAATTTGGTCTTGAGTGACCAGATTGAGTCAGACCAGCCTGAGTGAGATGGTGATTCTCTGCTCAAGAAGCACAAGGAAAATCAAACAGCCTAAATGATAAATCACAGCTCTGGCCAGTTTTCCCTTTTATGCCAGCTGTATAACCTGCTCTTGCACACCGGTCTGTGCTTTGCTCGCTACATCTGTTTGTTCATCATCTCTGAGGATGTGCTGTGTTTCCTCAGACACGTCCGTGTTTTATCAAGTGGAGGGCAGCAGGCAGGCGTTGAAGATCACTTTGTACCTGGACAGCTGCCACTTCTCAGAGCTGCCCATCAGGCTGCAGAATGGAGGCAGTCTGAAGCTCCACACTGTGCTGTTTACGCGGGGTGAGTCTGGCCATGGGGTGTCTTCTCATCCTGCACCTCCCACTGGTGGTCGATATTGGGAGGATCCTTCCTTGCAGGTCCATATTTTATGAATGGAGGTCTCCCATACCACAGTCGAGGATCTGTTAGCAAAACTGGGTTTGTTTTCTAGACCAGCTATTTTCAGAAAATATCCTGTGTTGCTTAAAGTAAATACAAATAAAAATAAGAAAATACATTCTTTTGATGCCTTAATGCTGTTCCCAATACTGAGAGATGCAGGTGATCAGCTCAACAGTGTGTGAGAGTCCCCACCAAGTGGTTATTTTCAGTAATAACATGTCTTTCAATAAGTTTTGTATTTTAAAAAAAAAACATATTGCATATATTGTAACCTTTCCTCAAAACAACCTGCATGAAACCCAGTTCATGTCAAATGATGGATTTAAAATCAAGAAATCTGGTTGATGAAGTAGTTTTATATGTAAAATTTAGATTTCTTTTATTTCTAAATCTCATTTGAGATAAGAAGGACGTTTTATGCAGCGATGAAAAGGATCCTCTCATTCCTGTGTCCTCTCTTTCCTCTCCGTCTGTAGCTTTGGAGAAACCAGAGTGTGCCGCGCAGCAGGACAGCGCATCCATCGAAGACTTTCAGCAGCAGATTAATGCAGTCTCTCTGGAAAAAGTCAAATGCTATTACCGCAGACTCAGGTATCTGTACAATAGCGGACACACACCACTGCTTCAGATGAGAAAAGTGTTCCATTAGGTTTTTTCACTACTTCTAAATATGTCTGCTAGGTCTACGTTACTGTAAAAGGTTAAGCGTTTACAAAAACATGGGTTTTATACTTTTTTGTTAAACACTGAGTGTAATTTGTTTTTTCTTCAGCCCTGTATTAAACCAATCTGTGAATATCTTTGCATTACAGGGCCTTTTACCTGGAGAAATCCAACTTGCCTACAGACTCTAACACCACTGCCGTGAAGATAGACCAGGTATGCTTACCATCTGTTACGGCAGATATCTGAGAGATTTCAGAATCTCCACAGCTAGGACTGGCTGGTGAAAATGTGTTACACTGTTCCTAGGACGATTTTGATAGGGGATTCAAAAATTAAATAATAAGTAAAATTCTCCTCAAAGAAGATAAGATTGTAGATCTATTTTTTAAATTCTGCAGGTTGTCACAGGGGGCGCCAGAGGACAGGGGATGATCTTAAATTTGAGTACACCACCATTTTACAATTGATAAAAACTGAGAAAAGGGACCCCTGGGCTTTCTGCCCCATGTCTGCCTGTGGAACGTCTGCACAGCCATGCTGCAAATGGAGTTCAGAACTGACAATCGCATTTGTTCCACCTCTTTACAAACAGATGGTTAAAACGTGATCTATAAGACTCTGGGTTGGCCACCTCTGTCCCAAAGTCTAGATTGAACAGGTGTTTCTTCGGAGAGGAAGTGTTTGCTCTCAGATGTTTCCCCGTGAGCAAACTGCTTTTATTTTACTGTGAGCACTGATAAAAGTGAGCAGCCTGACATAGCTAAAACCTGACAAAAAAGCAGGTGTTCCTCAGAGGAAAGCGTGTCACGAGCTGTCTTGATCTGTTTTCTTTTCTCCTTCGTAGAAGGCAGATGGTTCCACAGGTATTGTGAAGTTGCTTTCTAAGAAAAGAAAACCATTGGGCCACACTCTTTCGGAGCGAGTCCGGAGCCCGGTGTGGTTTCTTTCTCCCTGACTGTCTGGTCTGCTCCTCCTTCAGCTACTGCGGCCCCTCAATGCCCTGGACGAGCTGTGTAGACTCATGCAGTCCTACGTGAACGCGAAGCCTGCCGGCGGCGGCACTTTCCCCACTGGAGTCAGTCTGCTGCCCATTTCCTCCGAGCTCTGCAACCGGCTGGGCGCCTGCCACATCGCCATCTGCGCCACGGGGATGCAGAGGTAACCGACACGGACCCTCGCACCCGCGCCGCCCGGGCCCACCGGGGCACGTCTGTCGCTCTGGCAGCAGCTCGAGTTTCATCGGGGGCTGCTGCCCTTGCCATAATTTCCTTGTAGTTCACCCAAAGCGGTACGTCCGTCTCTTGTGAGATTCCTCTCATGCTGGAAACTGAAAAGTCAAACTTGTCTGTCTGTTCACCAGCCAGACAGGAACAAGCAGTTTTGGGGGAGTTTTTCGAGACAGTAATTGATTTTTAGGAGTTAATTGCCAAGGCCTCCGAGTTTGTGGAGAGATCGATCCTTTGTATGCACAGCAATTGTCTTATTCCGTGCGACAGCTGAGTAGGAAATAGATTTCAAAATTAAGCCTGTATGTGAATTCTGCATTGTGCTATTGCTGTGACATTTGAGAGTGCACGCAGGGCTGTCTTTTTCTGTGAAGTAGCTGTCTGACAGCAGCGTTGATTGCTGTGCGGTGAGCTGCCCTGAGCATGTGCTGCTCCAGAGAAGCCGAGCGTGCAGTGCAGGTTGTTACAGGCTGTGTTCCACCTCCTCTTGGCAGGTGCACTCTGAGCGTGTCCCTGGAACAGGCCGTGATCCTGGCAAGAAACCACGGATTGCCACCCCGATGTATCATGCAAGCAACTGATATCATGCGGAAACAGGTACGGTTCCTATACAGCTCGATTTGCAATTCAGTCACAACAGAAAAGCACACTAAACTGCCCATTAAACCTGCATGACTTGAGTCTCAATCAAAAGAATGAATGCACTAAAACACACACACAAACTATATGAACCAGTAGGCTTATGGACCATTCTAGCTCATTTGGTAACTAGTAGCTCATTGATCTACTAATCCAGCCATTGGATGATCTTATCCAACCAATTCTTAAAATAAGACCGTGTCGGTTTCAACAACATGGCTGAGTGCCATACTTCCACAACTCTTTGGTTAAAGGGATGTGCTGCCCATTTTCAATTTTAAGCGCACTTTGGGGGTGTTCATACGTACTGTATGTCATCTGGTTTGTGTTTTCATGGTCATTCAGGAGAAATCCACCGGTTTGATTTAGGCACGGCTTTAAAAGGCAAAGCCTGGGAGGGTTTTGGATTCTTGTATCAGCCTCCCTCATAGTCTTCTCTGTTCAAATGTAAGAAGTCTTCTGTTCATTTCTCGTCAGTATAAAACATCCTCTTAATCACTGGAATGTATCTGGCTGCTCATCTCTGAACAGATTCCAGAGAAGCAATATCTTTTCTATAACGCAGTACTTAAATTGTACAAAATACACCCATACGTCTTTTTACAAATGTAATTCGTCCCCAGAGACCCTTTCATATAGCGCAAATTTGTAAATTGAAAAACCTATTTCCATGATTTCTAATGGTGAAATAAGATTACGATTGATTCCGGACTTTTTGTCAACAAAAAATGACCAGAGAAACGATAAGTAAATTCACCAACTGTGGTTTGTGTTTTTAGTAATAATAACCACTGCATATCTACAGTAGTTAGACATCATTAAGCATGCCTATGTACAGTACTGTACAGACTTTACATCTGTGATAAAGTCTAAACCCCAAATATCTTATGAAAGTAAGCGCACACGATAGCGAACATTGCACAAAAACACAGTGAATTGTCACGTCTCTCCTGCCACTCCACAGCCTCTGTGCGGCCTCTCACCCTCTCACCCTCTCACATAGGCTGGTTAGTGGAATGTGATGAACAACGAGTCACACTAAATCCTACTCTTCACTCTTCACTCATTTCGTGGAGGTTTCAAAATGTTTCTCTGTATGGCTTCTTTGTGGTTTCAAAGTTGGATTTTGTTATTCTAAATGTGGTTAGCAATTCGTAGTGTCTTCGTAGTAATCCACCGTAGTAAGGTGGATGCTGCACATTGGTGGAGGTGATGGAGAGGATCCCCATTACCTGTAAAGCGCTTTGAGTGGAGTGTCCATGAAAAAGCTATATAAGTATAAGCAATTATTATTATTATTATTATTATTATTATTATTATTATTAAAGAATCTTCATAAAATGAGTTATGGGTGTATTATAAATCAGCCCTTATTAGTGCATTGTATGATTTTAACACAATGCCACTTGATTTAAATCCATCACTTTTAAGTATATGTCCTTATATTGCTTACCTTTTTCAATGCTTCCTGGCATTGTCTGGGGTTCAATATAATATATTAGTAGCCTCTTCTAGCTCAGTGTTTCCTATTGTGTATTTATAGTTTGTTTTTGTAACCTGCATGCAAAACCCTGCACTTTTCCATAGTACATATCATCTGCCAGGTGTTTGACCAGTGTTTGATTTAATGTAATATACTGCTTCTACAGTGGTGGCCAATTCTCCTTATTTGATATAATCCACAGATGTGTTAAATGTACTCACTATATTAGACCACTGATATTACTGATATAAGAAGTGCTGAAGTCCTAGTACAGATCCATGTTCTTTTATATGAATATAATGCAAAAATGACTTGAATATCATTTTAAGTCATTATCTCTAATGATATCTAATATTTTAAAATGTGTAAATTCATGTTTCTGTATTTATTTGTTTGGCCGTTTTAGCTAAAATATTCCTCTTGCTTTCCTATATCTCTCTCCTCCGTCTCTGTCTGCTTCTTCTTGAGAATTGTCAAGGCCATGTAATGTTCATTTCAAAGTAAGCATGACTCACGGTTTTCATACAACAGTACACACATGTTTTTGTGATTAGAGTTTTAACAACCGGTGATTAATCACTTTAAACTGAGAGCACAAACAGGCTCTGACAAAAAGAGACAAAAGGAGAACTGTACTCCGTCAAATTTAAAACAGTGTGTTGTCTGAGTGGATACCTAAAGAGCCATTGTTCATTTTTAAAATCTGACGTATTTCAATATAAACGGAATAAATTTGTCTGAACAGGGAACAAGAGTGGAAATATCTGCAAAAAACATGAAGGTGATGGATCAAATGCCTCCTACTGCTCCAAGGTATCTAAGCAATTATATTTTACTAAGTGCATGTTGATATTCATTTTGACAACATCTAGGATTGAGAAGTGGTGTTTAAAATGCAAAGAACATATTTGCTCCAGCCTCTCATGCCAGTTCTGGAGCTGAGTAATAGTCCACCTGAAATCGCCATGCTTAGGTGAAAGCCAGCGATGAGGAATAGATGGAGTTTTGTATTTCTGTCGCCTAATAAGTTTTGAAACTGTTTCTGACCCCGTTGGAAGAGAGACAGCTGGGGCTATAATTCTTGCTGATGTGCGTTTGAGTTGAGCTCTCTTCATTATCGACAGTGTGTGTGCTGGGAAGGGGTGACAAACATGCCTCAATTGTAACACTCACTGGGCAGCGCTTGACAGCATTCTCCTCAGGTTTGTGTGGGAGTTTGCTGGCTGTTCTGGTGTTCTTCCCAAAGACACTCTGGGTTAGTGTTGATTGGCTTCTCTGAAGGGTCCCAGTCTCTCTGTGCCCCTTGGAAAAATGCCACGAGTTTTGAGCCTCATCAATATGAGCAGTCTCGCACCCGGCGCCTTTTGGAGAGGCCCTGCATTAGCACCACCCGCCCCAGCTTGAGTGCGCATTTGAAGATGGGTGGATTATAATAAATGACAAGTCTTGGAAGTCACCAATGTGATTTCTTACTTGCTGTGCTTCAGCCTCAACTACATAGGTAGTGTAGGTATAGGAGGGTCTGACAACAGCAGTTTAGCCTCTGGATAAATCCCATTTGTTAAAAGAAAAATGAGAGAGTCTGTTGTCTTCCAGTTAAAAAGAGATAGAGTTCATTTAATTAGTTAACCTTCATGCTAATAACTAATTTATCTAGCTTGGGTATGCTTAAATTTCCTACATTTTGACCAAGCAGAAAACTTGGACCCACAGGTAGAGAAATGAATACATTTTAAATGAAAACACTTCCAACATTTCATTCATTACTTTTCTTCACACAGGCTTTTCAGGCTATGCTTGCCACCGGAGGATGGAGACCTATGAAGGGATTTTATTATTTCGCTTTTAATTCTATTTTTCCAAACCTTGCTCAGAATGTTCCCCTTTTTCGGACACCCACGCCGTTTTCGGATAATTCCTGCTTCTTTCGCCGGCCTGCCTGTGCCAGCACCTGCTGATACACCTGTGGGCTGGTGCCTTCTGGGATACAGCCCTCCTGCCCAATCGGAAGGAATGCTCAAGCATTTTGGCTTCAAGCAAGCAGCTTTGCCGGCAGCAGGACAACAGCCTGACCACTCCCGCTGCATCAAGCCTAGACTCTGCCCAATCCTCAAACAATCAAAGCTCTGGGATTTTTCCTGCTGGAAGCAGCCCTTTCTGGAACATTTGGAGGATGTTTTAGCACGATCAAAGACTACCAGTTTGGCGGGATATTCCACAGTACATTGTGAAGTGTTTGGAGACCTCAGACAGCCTCGATTGTGAGGGAACATCTTTAAAATAGATGAAAAAAACAAATACTTCAGAATTTCATCTTAGCATTTACTTGCTATGAACATGAATGCCTCCTCCTTGCCATGTTTCATTTAAATTACTGTCTGCATGCTAGCTTCAGAGCAAGAAACAGCTCACTGGTAGTCATACAATAGATAAGAGATAACGTTTTGGCCTGACAAGCTTCAAGTCGTATACTTGTGATACGTTAATGAGTCCTGGGAACTTTTGGGGGAGAGGGCCTCTTTTGAATATGCCTAGCATGAGTGACTCGGAAGTCATGTCAATACGGTCACCTTGCCATAGCTATGGAAACAGTTGCTAGGGCGGGGCATTTTTGTTTGCAAGGTTTAATTCAAGGAGAAGAAAAAATAAAAATGTGATAAACATGAACATTGAGAAACATTCCAGGATAAAACAAGTATACCACCTCATTTCCTGTCTTCTTTATTTGTGTCTTATACAGTATATTAACTGACAGGAAGAGACCAAACAAATTTCGAGTCATCTCAGTCATTTCAAGATCTTGGAATTTTTTGTTTTCTAAGTTTCAGACACAGGGCCAGTCTTTTCCAGTGTAAGTAAATGTCAAAATTGTTCAAGCACAACAGCACTCTCAGCTGCTTGTTTGGTTTGAGTATCAGTTGTTTTTTTTTTGCTATGTTAATATAATTTAAATACCTATTTTCATAATATGTTGTAACCTCAGAGAATGCATAACAAACTCAGATCTTGTTAAATTTTCAGTAAATGTAATTTAGGAGGAGTAAAACAAGAATATGTGGAAAAGGGGAATATGGAGTATAAAATATTTAATGTGTTATGTTTTAATAATCTTACATTCTTGTACATATTTATAACCAGAGATTTTATTTGTGTCAATGGGACCAACATATATAGTATATATATATGCTCTTAAAGCAGGTGAAGGACAGCATTGTTCTTAGTCTCTTCTTATAAAGCATTAAAGTGTATGTAATAAGATGTTTTGTGCAAAAAAATATTTTTAATTAACTTGTACATTTGAAAATGTATGAATAGCAAGACAAAATTCTTAGATGTAGCTCATTCAGGTGTATTAACGAAAAGCGTTTTCGTTGTAAATCATATGTCAGGATGTGTGCCTTTGTTTAGTGAAAGGCTTTTTAAAAAATTATGTTGATAGTGTTTAAGATGCTGGACACTGCCTGTTAAAAGGGCTTTAATTTCTCTCCTTTATTCTGGATAACAGGAATTTACAGTATACAGCCCCTCTTCCCTCTCAGAATTTGTATTTTATTATTTGAAATCAGTTCCTGTGACGTATGTCTCTGTGAGTGTTGTTCATTTGGAATTATTTTTAGCGAAAAGAGATCACCCCAGCTCCAATCACAAAGCCTCCTGATCACCTGCGTGGTGACTTTAAGAATCTGCATGGGGGGTGAAAAGCTAAGATTTTCAAAAGTGTGACATAGTGAGGAAGAGCAGTTCTTACAGAGCCGCGCTTCATGTAGTAAAACAATTGTGATTGATGCAATTGTGAAGAATTTTGAGTATTTTTTGAGTTAATACTTAAACCTGAGTATTATTTTTCACAACTCAGTAGAGAAGTTTTAAGAGTGAACTGCAGACAGTGATGATTTCATTGTATGTTTCCCCTATTAACTCAGTTATATGATTCTATATTATGTATCTTTGTGTTCTAAATGCAGTATATTTTTGATTCCTGTATCAATGCGTTTTTATTGTCTTTTGGTCTGCTTTATGTTTACATCTGTTGTTTTACAGAATTGTGTTCATTATTCACTATAACAAAGCCAATTGTTCCAGAGTCTAACAAGTATTACGTTAGATAATAAATGATACGCTGATACATTTAATATGTCATACCCAACAGGCTAGATGGGCAAGAATCTTGTTTGAGATTTTTCTTATACTCTTAAACCTGAAATTTGAGAAAAGGCAGAGCATCTTGTATTATGTATCATTATTATCAGTATTAGTCTCAGCTTTCTGTCACTTGAGATCTTTTTGCACATTAAAAATGTCTAAACTGCGAATAAACTATTTTGGAAAATATCACAGGTTGTTGAAAACATTTTAAGAATCTTGCAATAACCAACTATCTGCTATTGACAAAGGCAAATTAAAAATGTTCTGAATTGCTACTTTTGTGTTTTTACAAAAAATGATAAAGTAGGTGAAAGTGCCTGCTTCAGGAATCCCTGTTGGGATTGATTAATGGCCATTATGGTGTTACTTTGTTTTCTTGATTCTTAACTTATTTTTATTTCTGTTTATCTGGACAGCATTTTTTTCTAAAAAGATGTACAAGACTATATTTCCATTCCAGTGTTAATGTGTAATGTGTTTCCATTCCATGGAAACACCAAAACAATACCATCACCTAGAAGGAGTGATTTCTAGTTTTCTTGTTATAGATTTTATTCATATTTCATCATGTGTGTTTACACATTTCAGTGTGTTTTACAAAAATGACACTTAAAAACATTTTTCATTTTAGTTAAAAGTTTTGTCAATTCAAATTTTATTTCCTTCAAAATTAATACAGCAGTTGAAAGGTGCAAGTGGATAATGTAGCAAACTGCATCATGCAGCCTTAATTGTAGTGCAATTAAATTTTATGTTGCCTTTATCATTCTATGACACTCATATGCAACAGATATAATGGAAAAGAACAGATGTATTGGATATACCCTCCTACACAGTTCAAAATATTGTTTAAAGCTGTCCATAACATTAATTGTCAAAGGTGCTAGGACAGTTATTAGTTTTTAAAGGAAATGGGCCCTGTTCCTTGTGATTATGCAAGACAGAGGTACTTCATAGGACTGTGGTCACCTGAGTTGCACCTGACTTCTGATTAAGAATCAACTGTTTGGTGGTTGTGCAAACACCATCCTGATGCAGTAGTGGTACAGTAGGTGCTTATTTAATCATGACATCAATAATCTTATTTTTACGTCCGTTCTGTTATCTTAAGCATCAGTGGTGTTTTGTATTCAGTTTGTACTGTAAATGTTTTGGAGAAATTACTGTCTCGTTAACAATGACCTCCACTGACATGTTTTGATTTGTACTGACTGACAATCAATCACTTTTTTGGTTTTATATGTAATATATGTGGCTTTACCCTTTATTTTCTGTTCATGAGCGTGGTATTGTTCTAATAGCTTGAACTGTCTAAAAAAGGCCTTTATCAGGATGTTACTGCTCTCACTGCCTTAGAAATACCGCAATGGAAGAGTTATGGTGCATCACAGGTATTTTGCTGTTGATTGTAGCTTATTGGTTCCTTTAATAAAACCCAGTCACATCTACTTTTGCAAAATCAGTTTATGTAGGAAATTAAAGCAAAACAGAGTTATCATAAAGGTTTTTTTTTTCTGGATAGAAAAATAGGATAACTATTGAATGAGGAAAAAAACCCATGAAGTGTGAAAATAATTAAACCAGTTGAAATTATGTTTGTACTTACAAACTGGCAGATTGCAAAGAAAGCTATTTTCTTCACAAGCTAAAATGTTTGTTTGCAAAATTTGTTATACAGGTAGTGATGGGATGATTCTGTAGTGAAAGATACATTTCTTTTACTGTTGGCCGTTGTTGGGTTTCTGTAGCATAAATGCAAATCCTTGAATTTATATAGCTCTTTTCATCACTGAAGATCTCAAAACACTTGACATATTTGGCAGGGAACCTATTTCATCCAGTGAAATGCAACCCCACCTTGGTAGCCCACACCAGCCACACAACAGCTGAATTAAGTAACTTCTCAATTGGGTACAAGTCTCTATGGTTGTTCTTCTGACTAATAACATGTTCTCATCCTTTTAATCAACACTTGTGACCCAATGTCTGAACTTCTGTTGTATATGGCACCTCAGTTTCAGCGATTCTGGAATTGTGATCCTTGTTAACTCGGTATGTTCCTGATGAGGATACTTTTTCTTTGAGTTCAGGATTAATGTCAGTTCCTTCCATTTATTTTCAGGACATTAAATGAACTGTATACAGGGATGGGACTTTATATGATGTTATTTACTGTAACTAAGAAATACTGGCAACTTGCTTTTAAGACATCAATAACATTGAGGGTTATTAGGATGCCCTCATTTAAAGGGTTTGTCCAGTACTCATAATATGAATCTATTTTTTCCTCTAATAATGCATTATTGTACATACTGTATGTTGTTTTATGATTTATGTTTGTAACTGTATGTGGTCTTCAAAGAAAGTTGTACAGAAAGAATTTTTAATTTTTTTTTCAGCTTGTTACAAATGTTGTTATAGATTTAACCTTTATTTGCTAGCTAATAAAATGTATTTACAGAAGAAATGATTTTGTGGATTTCAATGAGGATTGGGTTCTAGCCCAGTGAATGTCAATACCTGGTCCTGGGGGGGGGGGAGCTATATCTGCTGTTTTTTTTATATCTGTGCCTGTAACTGACCTGTTCCCTTGACTTTCTACACTCAAGCACTGATTTGAAAACCAAAACTACCCTAAAATGTATGATTTCCAATGTCAGCTCTCAGAACGTCATGCAGTGCACTGCTTCATTTCTGCTGAGCTCTTGAGGATGAGTTGGTGATGAACAGAACAGATCCGGTGACAAGGGTATCAGACACCTCCACTAGGTATATTTGTTTCCTTTTGTTTACGTCGAATTTGTTTGATCTCCGTCATGCCTCTCCTCCTACCTGACTGGGCACAGCAGTCCGAAGCAGTGTGGTGAACCCTGATGTGGGCAGGCTGCTGAGAGCAGGCAGGCTGTGGTAGCAAACAGACAGACAGCCACTGTCCAAAGCTGAAGTCCAGAGTGAAGCAAGGTTCAAAGCCGGGAAGACGCAAGGCACAGGCCCAAATGGGAAATCCACCAGTGTACTCATAGTAAACAGGCCACGTTCGTAGCTGGAATAAGCACAAAGGAGAATCTGAAGCAAAGTCGAGACAGGCTGAGTCACAACACCGGAGAACATAGGCTCAGCACAACCCAGAGATGTGGTCAAAAGCGCAAGTGTAGAGTGTAGAAGCAAAACGCAAGTGGAACTAAACACAGAGACTAAAGATGAAACTCTAAACCAGAGCGGGGATGTGACATCGGGACCGGACTGGATCCCTCAGATCGTGTCAACATGACTACCGTTTGGCAGCCTGAGTAGGATCCGTACCGTGGGGTGGCCATGGTGTTTCTAGTGCATTGTCTAGCGCTCCTACAGTGTGGAACTGACCGTTTTAGCTCACGTCCATGAAACGCATAAATGATCACAAGTTGAAAGCCCAAAACCCACGGAACTATTCATATGAATAAGGGTGTTACCCCAGTGTCCTGGCTTAATTCCACTTCTTGCAGAGCCTAGCCTCCTTAGGCAGTGGGGCAGCTGGAGAATAATGGCTGTTTAACCGGGTGTGTGGAACTTCCCCTTATATATGGAAAATAGTTTGGGATAGAAATC